GGGGGGAGGGCGTATAATTTAGGGCAGAGCCTCTGTCTCCAAGAAGGAAGTTACTATCCGTAAGTGCGCCTGCGCAACTTTCCCACGCCCTTGGGAGGATTTCAATCGATTCCGTCTGTCCTCGGCAGCCTTTCCTGCCTTCGGACAGCCATCTTGCCTGGAGCCTGGGAGAGTGAGAAGAGACAGAGAGAACGGAGAGACATTGGTCTCAGGGGCGCCCCGGGGGGCCTCAAGAGCCGGAGGCAGCCCCGGAGGTGGTCCTTGATCCCTGGCCCAGTTCTTGGACTCGAGAAGGAAAAGGGCGGGGGGAGGGTATGGGGAAAGATGGGTGGGGAATGCCAAGAAAAATTGCTCTGCGGGGGAGGAGTGTCGCTATAGCGACCAGGGATGGGCGGGGTGAGCTATGAATCACTGAGAGTCAGGGGGTGCTGCTCTGGGAGGGCTGTGGCGGTGACCATGGTAACGCCCTTTGCGGTGGGTGGGGTTTCTTGACGTCCCTGGGTATCAGGACTCGGTGTCTATGGCAACGGTTGCCTGGCGGAAGGGGTGGGACTAGGTTCTTGTCTAAAGCCCTGGGAAGCTGACATTCTAGTCCTTTGTCTTGCAGCCTCCCTCAGGCGGACACGCCGGAGAAGGTGTCCAGAAGCTGGGGAATGGCCGCGGTGTGGCAGCAAGTCTTAGCAGTGGATGCAAGGTGAGGCCCGGGGTCGGAGCCCATGGGAACGGAAGTGTGTGGTGCATGCGCAATGGCGATGACTGAGGCTGGGTGGAGAATGCGTCTTCTGAGGCTGCGTAAGCATGCTGGAGGTAATTGTGTGCTGTGGCATTGTGGGGGCATGCAGACAGGACCTTAAAGAGCATGCTTGGGGAAAAAAAAAAATTCTGTCATGTGTGAGCATGCGCAAAGAGGCTACTTTACTAGAGTCTTTGGAAGACAGATGGAGCTCAGGCTGGCGACATCCTGCCCCCTCATCATTAACCCCTGAGACTTCTCTTACCATCATCACTTCCCCAGTCTGGATGCATCACTCCCCAGATTGACCCTGTCACTATCCCACACTGACCCCTATCATTGTCTCCCCCAACCTCCATCACCATGCCAGTCTGACTTTTATGTTAGATTGACCCCTGTTACTGTCTGCACTGACTCAGTCACCCCACACCTCAGCAAAGCTGCAGACTGACTCCATCTTCCCTACAGTGACCTCATCACCATGCCAGAATGATGCCTATTATTACTTCAGAATCACCCCCATCATAGCGCCAGAGGGACGCCATCACTACTACAGCTTGATACTGATAATTCTTGCCACTTGGACCCCAACCACTGCCACACACTTCATTCTCCTTCCCTGTCCCCTGAGCCGATTAATTACCCTCTGTCCTGTGCCTGCTGCCCGCTCTACCTCCCACCTTGGCAGGTACAACGCGTACCGCACGCCAACCTTTCCACAGTTCCGGACACAGTACATCCGGCGGCGCAGCCAGCTGCTGCGAGAGAATGCCAAGGCTGGGCACCCCCCAGCACTGCGTCGACAGTACCTGAGGCTTCGTGGGCAGTTGTTGGGCCAACGTTACGGACCCCTCTCTGAGCCAGGCAGTGCTCGTGCGTATAGCAACAGCATCGTCCGCAGCAGCCGCACGACCCTTGACCGCATGGAGGTGAGCGCCTTGCCATGCTTCACGCACTATTTTAGGATCAGCAGGAGACAAGAAGAGAATATATAAGATCGTCAACAAGTAGATAACAAGATAAACAGGTAATAAGCAAGGTAAATTGATCAGTAAACAAATAGCTAACAAGATAAATAAATACCAGGCCTGATAGTGTGGGAAACGATAAGGAAAAATGAAGCAAAATAAGGGGATTAAAAAAACAAAACAAAACAACTACTAGTATTGGGGTTCTGGTGTGGTGCTGTAGGATAAGCACTGGACTGCTCCCACAAGGTTGGTGGTTTAAAGCCACCAGCCACTCTTCAGAAACACGATTCTTCAGATACACTATGAGTCGGAACCAACTTGAGGGCACTAATAGCAACAACAGTGTGGATGGGAGAGGTAGAATTAAGCCATTTTTGATGTCATTTATCAGGGAAGACCTCTCTGAGGAGGTGACAGTTGAGCTGAAACGTAAATGAAATGGGAAGTGAGCTGAGTGATTTTCTTGGGAAACTGTCCATTCTTTGTTCAGAGGGCACTTATTGAGCATCTACACAGTGGGGCAAGGGTGGAAGCAGGAAAGTCAGTGACAAGACCACTGCACTAGTCCAGGTAAGCACTGAGGGTGGTAAGATGTGGAAATGCTGAGAAAAGATTTGATTTGAAGTATGTTTTGAAAGCATTGGACTTAAAGCCTTGAGGGCTGTTTTCAAGATGCTCCTACCCTGACCCTCTCTGCTATAGGACTTTGAGGATGATCCTCGAGCTCTAGGGGCTCGTGGGCACCGCCGTTCTGTCAGCCGAGGCTCCTACCAGTTGCAGGCCCAGATGAATCGTGCTGTCTATGAGGACAGGTATGCACCAAAGGCGGCTGAGGAGTGGGGAACTCATGATGAGGAGAGGGGCCATTGAGCAATGACAGGTCGGACACTCATGCCTACCTCCTGTTACCCTCCATTCCTGTTGGGGCTCAGGCCTCCTGGTAGTGTGGTTCCCACATCAGCAGCAGAGGCAAGTCGGGCCATGGCTGGAGACACATCACTGAGTGAGAACTACGCTTTTGCCGGCATGTACCATGTCTTTGACCAGCATGTGGACGAGGCAGGTGAGCTAGTAGTGGTTGGTGGGTCCCATCACTAAATTTTTGCCCAAACTGACAGTCACCCAGTGCATCCCTTTCTGCAATGTATAGCTTCTGGCATATCTCAGAAGAAGGAATTATAATTCATAAATCTGTTTGCAAATGGAAAAGCCCTCTGCAAAGTGATTTATAAAATCTTGAGTCTTCTGTATACTGTGTTGTTGTTGTTAGGTGTCATCGAGTCGATTCTGACTCATAGCAACCCTACGTACAATAGAATGAAATACTGCTCCATCCTCACAATCGTTCCCGTGTTTGAGCGCATCATTGCCTCCTTATAACATGCCAGGAGGGACTTGAGACAGAAGCTTGCCATTCTTTCTCCTAAGAAGCATTCTGGCTAGGACTTCAAAGATAGATATATTTGTTCTTCTGGAAGTCTGTCATATATTTAATATTCTTCACCAACACCATAATGCAAAAGCATCAATTCTTCTTTGGACTTGCTTATTGATTGTCCAGCTTTTGAATGCATAGGATGCAGTTGAAAATACCATGGCTTGGCCCAAGTACACCGTAGTCCTTAGAGTGACAGCTTGCTTTTTAACACTTTGAAGAAGTCTTTTGCAGCGGAAATGCCCAATGTTTAATTTCTTGATTGCTGTCCCCATGAGCATTGATTGTTGGGTACAAGTGACATGAAATCCTTGACAACTTCAGCATGTTTTTCTTTTATCATGGTGTTTATTGATTCAATTGTGAGGATTTAAAAAAAAAAAACTTTTTAATTGTGAAGTTGTGAGGAGTTTTGTTTTCTTTATGTTGAGGAGTAATTCATACTGAAGGCTGTAGTGCTGATTTTCATCAGTAAGTGCTTCGAGTGCTCTTCCTTTCAACAAAGCACAGTTGTGTTAGCTACGTGTTAACAATTGTCTGTCTCCAATCTTGATGCTGGGTTGCTCTTCATATAGTTCAGCTTCTCACCTTATTCGTAGAGCATACAGATTGAATAACTATGGTGAAAAGCTACAGCTTTGATGCACACCTTCCCTGATTTTAATCCCTTTGTTCTGTTTGAATGATGTATCTTGGTCTCTGTATGGGTTCTGCATGAGCATAAGTAAGTGTTCTGGAACTGGCATTCTTCACAATTGTATTCATGTTTTTTTTTTTTTTTTTATCTAAATAGTTGAATACCTCTTCTTAGTCAATAAAACAAAGACTGTCTAGTAGTCTCTCTTTTCAGCCAAGATCCACTTGACATTAGCAGTGATATCCTTCACCCCATGTTCTCTTATGAATCTGACTTGAATGTCTGATAGTTCCGTCAATGTAACCATTTTTTGGAATTTCTTCAGTAAAATTTTACTGGCATGTGTAATTAATATTGTCTGATAATTTCCACATTCTGTGGGATCACCCTTCTTGACAATGGATACAAACATGGATCTATTCCACTTAGTTGGCCAGGTAGCTGTCTTCCAAATTTCACTCCATAAATAAGTAAGTGAGTACTTTACAGTGTTACATCCATTTGTTGAAATATCTCAGTTGGTATTCTGTCAGTTTCAGGAGTCTGTTTTTTTGCCAGTGACCTCAGTGAAAGTTGAACTTCCTTCGGTACCATCAGTTTTCGATCATAAACTCCTTCCTGAAATGTTTGAATGTTGACCAATTCTTTTTGGTACAGTGATTTTATGTATTCCTTCCATCTTTTGGTGCTTCCCACATCATTCTGTATTTTTCCCATAGAATCCTCGAGGCTTGAATTTTTTCATTGGTTCTTTCAGCTTTAGAAATGCCTGGTTTTCTAACTCCAGGTCCTTGCAGATTTCATTATAATACTCGTCTTTGTCTTTTCAAGGTGCCCTTTGAAGTCTTCCGTTCAGCTCTTTTACTTCATCATTTCTTCCATTTGCTTTGGATACTCTACATTTAAGAGCAAATTTCTCATTCTCTTCTGACATCCATTTTGGTCTTTTCCTTCTTTCTTATCTTTTTAATGACCCTTTGCTTTCTTCATGTATGATGTCCCTGATGTCATTCCACAACTTGTTTTGTCTTTGGTCATTAGTGTCCAGTGCATCAAATCTATTCTCGCAATAATCTCTAAATTCAGGTGGGATATACTCAAGTTTGTACTTTGGCTGTCATGGATTTGTTTTAATTTTCTTCAGCTTCAACTTTAACTTGTATACCATATATTGTAAAAGGCCTCATAAGCTTGAAAAAGTGGTTTGCCAAGGGCTTCCTGGGTTTATGAGGTGCTTGGAAGAGTTTAAAGCCTTTGCTTTTACGAGTTTAAATCCTCGTCAAGGCAGAGTAGATTGCAGAGTGCTAAGCTTTTTGCAGGCTGCCTTCGTGAGTTTGTACAGTTCTTGCTGTTACATAGTTGTCCTGGTGGCACCATGGTTAAGTGCTTTGTTGCTAACCTAAACGTCAGCAGTTTGAGCCCACTGGCCGCTCCATGGGAGAAAGATGTGGCAGTTTGCTTCTCTAAGCATTTCAACCTTGGAAACCCCATGGGGCAGTTCTACTCTCTCCTATAGTGTTGCTATGAGTTAGAATTGACTCGACGACAGGTTTGGTGTGTGTCGCTAAGATGTGGGAGTTTGTCTACGTTGTATAAAACTTTTGCAGTTCATAACACACCTGATGTAATACAGGAGGTATTGGGCAGAGGATCTTGTGCAGTTACAACTCCCTTAACCATCCAAGGGAAACCCTTTGGTGAGGCTCCTTCACCTCATGCAGTGGGCCCCAGCCATGGCACACACGTTCATACCTTTTAAACGAAAGCATCCAGTGAGTATGCTGACTCCCACCAATGACTCCTTGGCATTGCAGTCCCAAGGGTGCGCTTCGCCAATGATGACCGGCACCGCCTAGCCTGCTGCTCACTCGATGGCAGTATCTCACTGTGCCAGCTGGTGCCCGCCCCACCTACCGTGCTCCGTGTGCTGCGGGGCCATACCCGTGGTGTCTCCGACTTTGCTTGGTCCCTCTCCAATGACATCCTCGTGTCCACTTCGCTCGATGGCACCATGCGTATCTGGGCCTCTGAGGATGGCCGCTGCATCCGTGAGATCCCTGACTCTGACGGCGCTGAACTGCTCTGCTGCACCTTCCAGCCTGTCAATAACAACCTCACTGTGGTCAGACTCCAGGGCACCCGGCCCCAGGGGCGGGAATTCGGGCGTAGAGGCGTGGGGTGGAGGGCTGTCCATAGGAATCAGTAGAATAAGGGGTACTACCTAGGGGCAGGATTGTGGGTTTCAGATCCCTCCAGTCCTATTGGTAGTGGTCCTACTGTGTTCAAATTTAAGAGAGAAATGGGTCAAAGTCCAGGGGGGCATGATTATTAATTTGGGATGACCTCACTGTGGTAGACTCCAGGGTGGGGGAGATGGTCAGTGGGTAACTTCTGACTGTGTGCAGAGCGTACTGGTTGAACAGCAGGACTGAGCCAGAGACCCTGTCTGGTCTTAGCTGCAGCAGCCCCACTGTGGTTAGACTCTGACATGCCTCGAGGTGGAAAGTACAGGAGGAGCTGGCCAAGAGTGAGCTTACAGTCTTGTTGTTATGTGCCATGGAGTCAGTTCAGTCTAGGACCCTTTCTATTTCAGCAGCAGCAATCCCACTATAGTCAAGGCTCTATGAAGCAGAGGAATGATACGAATAGAATAGGTCTGAAACAGCCCTGTGATGCTCGGCCCACAGAGGGAATTAGCTAAGGGACAGCATTATAGATCTGAGACTCTTTCGGTTTCCTGAGCGGCTGCGCTACTTTCATCAGATTGCAAGAGGGGCTGGCTAAGGAAGAGGAATATGGGCTTCAGTCACTTCCTAGTCTATCTGCTGCATCCCCATTGTGATTAGACTCCAGTAGATATCAGTGAGCAATAGGATCATGGGCCATTGACCTTTTTAATTCCATCAGTGGTTAGGTTCAAGGAGGAACTGGCTGGGAGCAGGATGATGGTATGTGGGTACCACTCACAGGTGGGGAATGCCAAACACAACGTTCATGTCATGAACATCTCCACGGGCAAGAAAGTGAAGGGTGGCTCCAGCAAGCTGACAGGCCGTGTCCTCGCTCTTTCCTTTGATGCCCCTGGCCGGCTGCTCTGGGCAGGTGATGACCGCGGCAGTGTTTTCTCCTTCCTCTTCGATATGGCCACAGGTAGGCAGGCCACAGGTTGCTCACCCCTCTGTCCTCTCAGTGCATAGTCCCTGCCCTTACCCTTGATGTCCTCTCCCTTCATTGCTGCAGGGAAGCTGACAAAAGCCAAGCGTCTGGTGGTGCATGAGGGCAGCCCTGTGACCAGCATCTCTGCCCGCTCCTGGGTCAGCCGCGAAGCTCGGGACCCCTCGCTGCTCATCAATGCTTGTCTCAACAAGCTACTGCTCTACAGGTGGGTCTGCCTGTCAGAGCGCCCTAGGGATGGAGCACCTGCCTCTGTCAGCTCCTTTACAAACCTTTCTCTTCCATCAGACTAGAGGTACCTAAGGACGGAGAGTTTGTCTTCCCCATCAAATTATTCTCACTGAGGGTTGAGGTCTGATCTCATCATCATAATGATATCAATAGTTATTGTTATTGTTAAATGTCATCAAGTCAGTTCTGGCTCATAGTGACCCATGTTTATCAAACAGCACTGTACCAGGACTCCAAGTAGTACTTTATGGTAATTCTTGGAAGTTAACTATTAAGTTGATTCCAACTCATGGCAACCCTAGATGTGTGGAGAGTAGATTCGCTCCATAGGGCCTTCAAGAGTGACCTTTCAGAAGAAGATTGCCAAGCCTGTCTTCTGAGGCACCTCTGGATGGGTTGAAATGCCAACTTTTTGGCTAACAGTCAAACATTTAGCAACTTACACCACCCAGGAACTCAATAATAATAATAATCATAGGAATATGAATAATAGCACTAGCGGTAGTAATAGTAATAACTGACACTTACATAGCAATTGCTATGGCCTGGCTTGCTTTGAATCACTTTGTATCTAATGCCTTGCTTAATCCTCACAACAACCCTCTGAAGTAATTAAGTAGGTACTGTTATCTGTTATCTCCATTTTACAGATAAGCAAACTGAGGCATAAAATGGAGTCATCCTTAGAGCAGTGGCTCTGTTCTCATCAGACCAGTGTGCCTGGAGGATAGTGGTCTGTTTTCTTCCTTTTATTTTGGGGGTTTAACTTATCTTTCATTTGGTTTAATGTCTCCATTCACATCTGTCATATTACCCCAATGCAGTTTTCAACATGGGCTGTGCATTGGAATGACCTAAAAGAACTTAAAAAAAAAAAATGAATGCCCAGACCTCGCTCCAGGCCAACGATTACAGAAACTCTGGGCATTGGTAGTTGAAAGTTCCCCAAGTGAGTCTAATGTCCCCTCAAGTCTAAAAACCACTGCCCAGCAGGATGTTTCTTATTTTAAAAATGTTTTCTTGAGGTATGTAAAAACCAGTACAAGCTGCCATTGAGTTGATTCCTACTCATGGCAATTCCATATATGTCAAAGTAAAGCTGTGCTCCATGGGATTTTCATTAGCTGATCTTTCGGATGTAGATCACCAGGCTTTTCTTCCAAGGCACCTTTGGGTGGACTCAAACCTCCAACCTTGTAGTTAGCAATTGCCTGCATCACCCTGGAGCTCCTTTGAGATATGTTTTATTTACAAGGGTAAGTCAGAAAGTATAGCTACCAGGGCTTCAATTCATACATTCACAAGCTTAATCCAAACCAAACGTATTTAAAAATGTCTCTGCAGTCCGTGGATGACCGCAGGCAAGTTTTCTCAGTTAATGTACTTGTCTTAGTCTCATTAGGGTGTCCTCAGAAAGAAAGTCCAATCACAACAGTGGCTTCTGAGGAGGTCTGCTGGGCCAGAGTCAGCTCGGAAAATTTTGGCTACTATTTTCCAGATCCTAAAGGAACGATCATGATAGGGGAGTGCGGTGGCCCCACAGAATAAGCACTACTCTGCAAACCACATGGTTGGTGATTCAAGGCCACCAGTCACTCCACAGGAGAAAGATGAGGCTTTCTGCTCCCACAAAGATTTACAGAAACCTCTGCAGGGTCTCTATGAGTCGGAACCCACTTGATGGTACTTCACAACAGCAACAACAATCTTGATAGATTTACTCAAAGGACATAGGACCATCATGGAGGTTCGTTAGGAATAAGTTTTAAGAAAATGGAAAACTTTATTGGTGAGAAAAAGGCCAGAAAAGTTGCACAGAGAAATTTTTTTTCCCATCACGATGGTCCACTACAGTCTTCAAGGGCAGCAAGGGCTGTCCTACGAGAATTTGGTTGGGAAACCTTACTCCAGTTTCCCTACAGCCTTGCTCCTGCCCTTTCAGATTTCATTTTGTTCCCCAAACTCAAAAGAACACTAAGAGGAATACAATTTTTGAGATGGTATAAATCAAAGCATGTAGAATTCTTTGGAGAAGGGTTAGAGATGGAAACACCACCTTTAGAAGTGTACAGACCTAGATGGAGGCTATGGTAAGAAACAGTAGCTCTACATTTTGGTATTTTTGTTTAATAAAGGTTTCTATGACTTCATAGCAATATTCTTTTAAAAAATATTTATTTATTGAGAATTGAGTGAAAGTTTACAGAGCAGATCATCAGTCCCTCATTCAACAAATCATACACTTCATTACCATAATTGCAATCCCCTCTGTGTACCATCAGTCAGCAGTATTTACTTTTAGTCACTTTAACTATTGCATTCCTCCCTGTATCTCCCGCTGCCTTCATCTTTCCTCTGCTAACCTCCCTCTTGTTGTGTATTGCCTGCCTGTGTCTGGTTGGCCCAGGATCGGGCATTGTTTTGTTCTGCTGGGCATAAGGTCGCTCTGAGTCGGTACCGACTCGATGGCACTTAACAACAAAAACAACGGCACCTGTGAATAATTTCCACCACTCCCCTACCCCCTGTAACCATCAGATTGTTTCTTTTTAACAAGAAAACTTTTTTTTTTTTAAACTTTTTATGACATTGGTCTCATACAATATTTTTTCTTTTGTCATTGACTAATTTTGCTCAAGTGTATTGTCCTCCAGTTTCCACCATGTTGTGATGTGTTTCACAGATTAATCATTATTCCTCAGTGTTTTTTTAGTATCCTATTGTGTGTATGTACCACAATATGATGGGCATATACGCTGTCTATCTTTTTGGTATGTCTCTTGTAGACAGCAGATTGAGGGATCCTGTTTTCTTCTCCAGTCTATTCTCTATGTCTTTTGACGTTTAATCTATTTACATTCCATGTAATTATCAAAAGGTATAAATTGATTGCTATCATTTTATTGTGTGTTTTTTTATGGTGCTCCTGGATTCTTTGTTCGACATATTTTCAATACTGAGTTCATTTTGTTCATGGTTTTTTTTTTAAATTTTCATTTCTGTTGTGTTAATGTTTACTAAATCTGTCTGATCTTTTTTTTTTTTTGATGTGCCATGTGTATTATTTTTCTTTGAGGTTACCCTATAATTTATTAATTTTTCCCTGCTTAAAATAGTTTTATCTTGAAATCTACTTAACTTCCTTGCCATTTGGAAGTTCTGTATCTACACTATTCCCTCTTTTTCCTTTGTAGTTGACTTCATTATACACTGATCTGGATCCCTATTTTCAGTCCCGCAGGTTTCTTTTAATTTAAGTACTATATCTGGATTGAGTTCTGGATGGTGTTGTCATGTTGGTGATCTCAGGTGTATTGTCTGCTCTTGTTGGTTCTCAGTCCAAAGAACACCCTTTAGCATTTTTGGTAAAGTTGGTCTGATCATTACAAATTCCTTTAATCTCAGTTTATTAGGAAATGCCTAAATTTCACCATTATATTTGAGGAACAACTTTGCTGGGTCTATGATTCTTGGTTAGCAATTTTTTTCTTTCAGAGTTTTGTATATGCCATCCCATTGCCTTCTTGTGTGCATGGTTTCTGCTGAGAAATCAGAGCTTAGTCTTATTGGTTGTCCTTTGTAGGTAACTTTTCATTTTTCCTGAGCTGTATTCAGGATCCTTTCCTCGTTGGTGATTTTGGAAAGTTTGATTATGATATGTCTTGGTGATTTTCTTTTGGGATGTATCCTGGTTGGGGTACATTCAGCTTCCTGTATGCTCATCTTCTTGTTTTTCATGATAGTAAAGTTTACTTCTAACAACTCCTGGACAATTTTCTGTGTACTTTTTATTGTCTCTTCCTGTTCTGAAATTCCAGTCACCCAAGAGTTGTTCTGCTTCATGGTGTTCCACATAACTCTTAGGCTTTTTGCAGATTTTTCGTTCTTTTTTCTGATTGTTCATCTAGCATACTAGTATTATCTTTAAGTTCACTATTTCGCCTTCCATTGCTTCTCATTTTCTCCTTTGCCCTTTCAATGTATTGTCAATTTCTGAAATCAAAGTGTAAATCTTCTGGATTTCTAATTGCAGATTTTGTATTGTTTCAAAAATTGCGTTTATTTTGTCTGTTTGTTCTTAGAGTGTTTTCCTGAATTATTCTAAAATTATTTCTGTCTTCTTGCTTTCCTCGATCTTTCTGGCAGTCCATTGAAGGAACTAAAATACCATTCTTTTGAATAATTTTTCAGTTAGTTTCATTACTTTTTTTTCCTCACAAATGTTTTCTGTCTTTGTATCTTAGTCATTTGTTTGAGCCATTTTCTCTTGTTTTTTCATGTGAGCTAAAATTGTTTGTTGTTTCCGGGATATTATGGAATTTTCCTATTTTTAAAAACAGACAGTGTGGTTGTTGGACCCAGAGGGTAGAAATCTCTGTGGGGGGCTCCTGAAATTCAAGGAACTCATGAGGTGGTTATGGAAGGGATGTGACAACTGAGTTCCTGGCCTTAGAGGAAGTTCCTATTGGCCTCTCTGTTATCTGTGTTCACGGCTTTCAGTCCAGAAGCAGTTCATGGGGGCCCTTGATGGAGCTGGTTCAGTGTCAAGACCACAGGGAAGCTGGGGGCAGGGTGACTGGTTAAATGATAGCTGTGGTGGATTTGTGGGTTTTATACATCTTGAGCCAAGCCCACCTGAATCCAGGCACCAAAACAGTGCAGCCAACCCCCAACTCATACTGGCATGGCTCCCAATGAGGTATCTCCGAACTCCTGGAGAGCAGGGTCTGCGCTGGAGGTATGAAGGTAGGAGCTGGCCACACCTCTGGTCACCAAGGGAGCCTGGGGAGAAAGAAGAAATTGCATCTTTCCCGTCGCCCTCATGAATCTGCTCAGGCCTCCCTCTGCTGCCAAAACTGCTTTCAGGATGTAGAGCTGCATCTGACCAGCTGTTTGCCAGTCAGTCTTCCTCTCCTGCTGTCTCTGCTTGGCCTCTCCCAGCCACCTCTCTAACCTTTCTTAGGAAGTTCGGACTGCCAGAATGTTCATCTATGCCTCTTTATTTGGACTCTCTTATCTTTGTTGGGTATTCACTTTAACTCTTATATTCCTCCTTGTATCTTCTGCTAACTTCATCTTTCCTCTGCCAATCTCCCTCTTGTTGTACATTATTATCCCTATCACCCAAGTTAACGTGTGTACCTGGTGTGGCACTATAGGATAAACTTGGTGCTTCAAGCTCACCAGCCACTCCTTGGAAACCCTAGTCAGGGTCCCTGTGAGTCAGAATTAAACAGGATGGCACTTCACAACAACTCTCTCTCTCCAGGGAATAATTTTCCTTTCCCTCCCACCCCTGGTAGCCATCACAGAATGTTTCTTTTTGCAAGAAAACTTCAATTTTTGCAATGGTGATCTCATACAATATTTGTCCTTTTGTGATTGACTAATCTCACTCAGCATAATGTCCTCCAGGTTATGAGGTTTCCACAGATTTATTGTTATTCTTCAATGTTGTGTCGTATTCCGTTGTGTGCATGTACTAAGGTTTGTTTAACAATTCTGTTTGTTGATGGGCATTTAGGCTGGCTCCTTATTTTTGTTACTGTGAATAGTGCTGCAGTGAACGTGGAAGTGCAAATATCTATTCATCTCCTAGCTCTTTCTTTGTCAGGGTATTTACCAAGTAGAGAGATTGCTAAGGAGCGTAGGTAGCATCATGGAATACAATTGGGCTGCTAAACACGGAGTTAGAGTTCAAATCCATGAGCTGCTTCCTGGGAGAAAGATAAGGCTTTATGCTCCTGTAAAGATGTGTAACTCTATATGAGTCAGCACCAGCTTGATGGCATGTAGCATCTGTAGCAGAGACATTTCTGGGTTATCTCTATTTCCAACTGTCTGAGGAAGCACCATACCATTTCCCACAGTGGTTACACCATTTTGCAGTCCCACACCCTTGCCAACATTTGTTGTTTTCTATTTTGTTTTGTTTTTAAACTTTGATATCTCATTGTTTTGATCTGCATCTCTTTAGTGGCTAAGATGTAGGGTGGGCACACAAACCATGGGTCCCCCTTCTGGGACTGAGTCTGATGCTGCACCCTGACTTACTCTTTCATCCTGTCCTCAGAGTGGTGGACAATGTAGGGAGTCCTGGTGTGGCACTATGGGTAAATGCGCTGGATTGCGAAGTCAGTTTGAACCCCAAGGTTGGTGGTTCAAACTGACCAGCTGCTCCTGGGAAACCCTATACAGGGTCGCCATGAGTCAGAACCGACTTGACGGCACTTAACAACAACAACAGTGGTTACTGATCATGAATATTTTTTCATATGCATGTTGGCTGAAATATTTGTTCATGTCCTCTGCTCATTTAAAAATTGGATTATTTGTCTTCTTATTGAGGTGTTGAAGTGCTCTATTAATTTTAGACAGTAGCCCCTTGTCTGTCTGATACATCATTGCCAAAATTTCCCCTCAGTCTTTGGGTTCTCTTTTTCACTCTTTTGATGAAATCTTTTGATGCACAGATGCGTCTGATTTTTAGGAGATCCCAGTCACCTTTTTTGTCTTCTGTTTGTGTATTTTCAGTTACGCTTGATAGTGTTTTTATTCCATGTATCCGAGCCCCTATGTTTGTCCCTATTTTTTCATTGATGGTCTTTAATAGTTCTAGGTTTTCCATTTAGATCTTTAATCCATGTTGAGTTTGTTTTTGTATATGGTGTGAGATATGCCTTGTTTCATGCTTTTGCAAGTAAGTATTCAATTTTGCCAGCACCATTTGTTGAAGAGACTTATAGCAATACTTTTTAACTTACTCGGGTGTACATGATTCTGACTTTTAATGTAATCATACTCTTGCGTTCTTTGGCCTAGTTCCGCATCCTGTCATTTGTCTCCTACTTGCTCCTGCCGCGTCAGCCCTCTCCCTGCCACAGTAAAACATGTTCACAGCTGTGTGTATCTCTCTATACTTTGTTCCTGAGCAGATGCACATCTCCACACAGGTTTTCTTTACAGAGATGGGCTCCTTCTGTGTCCTTTTCCACATCTCGCTTTTCTCATCAGGTGATACGTTGTGGAAATCTCCCTGGACCATCTGCGATATAATTTTAGTTCATTCTTTTTAATGACTTTGTAATACTCCAAAAGTTCATGGGTGGCACAGTTAAGCACTCAAGTAATACCTGAGAGGTTGGTGGTTTGAATCCACTCAGAAGTGCCTTGGGAGACAAGTTTGGGGCTCTGTCTCCAAAAGATTCACAGTCTTGAAAACCCTATGGATCAGTTTTACCCTGAATACATAGGGTCACTGTGAGTCAGAAACTACTCAGCAACAAATAACAACAACCGTTATTCCACAGTGTAGGTGTACCAGTTTGTTCAGCCATTTATTTGTCTCTTCCTATCTTCACACTAGGATCTTTCAGAGACCCTTAGAAAGAAAAGCTAGTGAATTAAACTGCAGAGGCCTCCCGTTTGTGTCAACAGATATTGTTTCTGAACTGCCACTGACTCACACACCAGCCATACTTTGCAGGGTTTTGCAGTCACCTCCACATTGGATTTTGTGAATCTTGAAAAGAACTCAGATGTGGGGTGGGCACACAAACTATGGGTCCCCTCTTCTGGGGCTGAGTCTGATGCTGCATCCTGACTGACTCTTTCATCCTGTCCTCAGAGTGGTGGACAATGAAGGGACCCTGCAGTTGAAGAGAAGCTTCCCCATTGAACAGAGCTCACACCCCGTGCGCAGCATCTTCTGTCCCCTTATGTCCTTCCGCCAGGGCGCCTGTGTGGGTGAGTCCCACAGGGTTTGGGTAGCTGGGAAGGGGCAGGGACCAGGGCTGATAATGGATCTGGCCTCAGACACTGAGACAACCTGATGCCCTGACATTTTGGGCCTCATGCCCCAGCAACATCAAATTCCTATATGACTCAGAGAATCCACAGTTTGAGCAATGTAGCCCTCTTAATAGCTCAGAAAACTTACAACCTGAGATACAGATCCCCAAAGAGCTCAGATCCCTCACACAGTGGACTCAGAACCAAGACATTTAGGTGACTAAGGCTACAGACCTCCAAACCACTGTGGGACCCCCACACCTTACACTGAGTCTTTTGACACCTTAGAGACGTCACACCCAGGTTTCCCCAAGACCTTCTGATTCCCTCTCCTTCTCATTTGGGCAGTGACGGGTAGTGAGGACATGTGTGTGCACTTCTTTGATGTGGAGCGGGCAGCCAAGGCTGCTGTCAACAAGCTTCAGGGTCACAGTGCACCTGTGCTTGATGTCAGCTTCAACTGCGATGAGAGCCTGCTAGCTTCCAGTGATGCCAACGGCATGGTCATCGTCTGGAGGCGTGAGCAGAAATAGGGTCCTTTCGGCCCTGCCACCATCTCCCTTCTCACCTCCCTCCCCCGTTACCCCAGCCTTGCATTTGTAAATAAACTCTCCCCTGGTTGTGCTGATGGCTGACTCCTAAGTCTGCTAGTTTTGGGGATGGAACGGGATTCATTTTATCATTCATTCATTTATTCAGCAAGCATTTATTGAATGTCTGCTGTGTTACAAGCACTGTTTGAAGTACTTTGCACAGTCATGCATTCAGCAAATCTTATTGAGTAATAAATAATAAAGATCCCAGTGTTGGGTAGTACCACAGGGGTTTCATCATATTGGCCTGCGAGACTGCTGGTTCCTCATGGAAGCCTCTTCCGAGCCTATCTCTGCATTTGGTTGTCCCCAACAAGCAATGAGCAGAGTTGTTGAATACTTGGAATGCCAAACTGATATAGGAACAACCATGTTAGAGGGTCCCGCTGTGGCGTGGAGATGATGGGGAATCTCCATTCCCAGAGAAACCCTCAAACCACCCTATCTCCTAACCTAGGACCCAAATTCAAGCCTTGGGACAGCTCAGAGACCAAAAAGTGCTGTTGTTCAGTTCTGAGACCTCAAGGGTCATTACTAAAGTCTGCCCAGAGTGAGGAGAACTCGGCGGGCACAGACAGAGAGATGACCCAAATCTCTTACCTGTGATCCCAGAAATGTCAGTGAGGCTCTTATTCCACCCACTCTCTTCCCTCTAGCTCCGTATGTCACATGTACATGCATCAACAGGAATTCTGAGACCATAGGGTCGTTCCACACAGTCACAGGGACCCCCAATCCAGGGGTCTGGGTGTTGAGCAGCTGAACCAAGGCCAGCACTCTTGTTAACGGAGGAAAATAATCTGTTGGACAAACCTGAAGGTAAGCAGTGTCTAGATTGTTTAGGTGGTCAAGATGATATACAAAGGGGCTTCAAGAAATCTGGAAAAATGGAATTAAAAGATAATGGAATTTGTCTGCAAGCTTTATGAAGCGCCCTTATACATATGTTTTTGGACGTCCCCAAACAACCCCCAGATTCATTATCTTGCTAGAAGAACTCACAAGGCTCAGTGTATAGCCATACTCATAACTATGCTTGACTGTATAGTAAATAGTGAATATTTAATTGTATATTGTTGTTAGTGCCGTCGAGTCGATTCCAACCCATAGCGACCCTGTAGAGGGTTTCTGAGGAGCAGCTGGTGAGCTTGAACTGCTGACCTTGCAGTTCAGATGGCTTCGCAGTCTGGCACAGTAACCCATAGTACCACACCAGGCTATTAAATATGGAAAATTTAAAGTACCATGGACTATCAGAAGAATAAACAAATCTGTGTTGGGAGAAGTACAGCTGGAATGCTACTTGGAAACTTGGATGATCAGACTGTGTCTGTCATGCCTTGGACATATAATCAGGAGGGACCAATCCCTGGAGACGGACTTGGTAAAGTGAAAAACAGGAAACCCCCTCCCCCTAACAAGATGGATTGGCACAGAGGCAGCAGCAATGGGTTCCAATGTAATGACGATTATGAGGATGGTACAGGACCAGGCAGTGTTTCACTCTGTTGTGCACAGGGTCGCTATGAGTTGGAACCAACTTGACTGCACCTAACAACATGTTTAATTGCAATGAAAGGAGATGGAGCAAAGTCAGCAAAGGGAAAAGGCACATAAGGTAAAGTCTAGGGGGATGCAGGTCAAAGCTAAGAATCCTCTCCCAGTGACAACACATGTAAAATGTTGCCAACCAGGGAAGCTCATTAGAGACTCAATGCCTATGGTATTTATTGGGGACTGGTCACACAGGCAGCCCCTGCCTGGCATATACCCAAATTCCAGAGTTTCAGAAGGAAAGCAGGTCGTCCGTATCCACCACGTTGTCTGTACAGTTTAGTAAATAGCGGGAACCCTCTTGAAATGGAAGTTTTCAGACGCTAGACAAGGGCCATCTCATTGTAAGCAGACCTTTTTAGGGATAGTAGTTCAGGCATGTGGTGCTGTGGGTTAAGCTGGTCTGCAAAGTCAGTTTGAACCACAAGGCCGGTGGTTCAAGCTCACCAGCCGCTCCTCGGAAACCCTATAGTGGGTCGCTATGGGTCGGAGCTGACTTGATGGCGCTTACCAACAAACAACAATGTTAAGTTGTTTCTGCCTAGGATGCAGCACCTAATAGATTCTTGATTTTAACCGAAGTCAATGGATTGACAAGGTAATTGTGGGAACCCTCATTTTTCTCTTAACACTTCCTTATTCATTCTCTAAAACATAGGGTCGCTATGAGTCGGTACCAACTCAATGGCACCTAACAACAACAATTTTCTTCATACTTTTCATGTTCATTATTGAGTTTAGATTCAAAAATCATTGATATGGGTACTGTACATGATTTGGGATTTTTTTTCCTTAAGAAATTCTGAAGTGTCATAGTTGACATTCTACTTTGAATTCATTTTCATGATGATTTTTCGTGATTCATAACCTGAGGGGAAATAAATAATGAACAAATAACAAATAATGAGTTAAAAATCATGCTATTGGTCAAACTTGGGCCTCTATTAACTTGTGCATAAGTGCCACTAATATTGCATCAAATCTAGGCCTCTATTAACTATTCCATGATCAACGGAACCTGTTTATTAACAGTATCACCATCAAGAACCTCTTTGGCCCACACTTGAAGCTGAAGCCAGGCCTTTGTTAATTATTATCCTGTCACTGGTCAAATCTTAAACCAGGGCTTCTATATAATGTTCCACCAGCAATTTTTGCCTCAGAGCTTGAACTTGGGTTCCTGCTAATTATTTTTTGATCAATGTCCATTCCAACTTTAAGGACATTCAGTCCTGATTTTCAGTGTTGGCCTCTTAATAATTTCACCTTATGGTGTCAAAATCTGCACCTCTAGTAACAGTTGCACCATTAATGTCCACATGGCCCAAACGGAAGCACATATTTCTATTAACTATTCTACCATCGTTTTCTTTGGTCGCACCTCAAATCAGGACATCTCTTAATGTTTCTTCCACCATTGCCTATCTATTATGACTTAAACCTTGGCACTTTTAACTCGACAATCATCAGTGTCCATCGGATCTGCCTTAAGAATTGTTAAGTGCTGTCGAGTTGGTTCCAACCCATAGCAACCCTGTATTGGGTTTCTGAGGAGCAGCTGGTGGGTTTGAACTACTGACCTTGCTATTCAAACTGACCTTACAGTCCAGTGCATTATCTTTTTCATTATTGCTAGTGCTCTGGCATAACCTTGAACTTGGACCTACTGTTTAATATTATAAGTAGCTCTGGTAGCGTAGTGGCTACAAGTCAGGCTGCAAACCTCAAGGTAATTAGTTCAAAACTACCAGCTGTTCTGTGGGAGAAAGATGAGGCTTTCTACTCATAAAAATTTACAGCCTCAGAAACAGGGTTGCTATGAGTCAAAACTGCCTCCACGACACATAACCACCACCACCACCACCACCACCATTTTATATTACAATCCTCTGTGGTCTCATACAAACCCAGGCCTCTGTTAATCCTTCATCCAAGAATGCCACAATGGATCGTACTTGAGCTTCTTTTTAATGATTCATATTTCCATTCCCTCTGATCTGTCTTTGAACTCAGGTCATTTTAATATTTAAACCATCAGTGATCCTTTCCCCTCTTCTCAAACCCGGTCTTCTATTAACTATTACAGCACCAGTGTCTTTTTTATCCTTATGAGCTGTCTTGTCACTGAACATGCAGTGCCCTTAGAGTCCAAACTCAAATCCTAGTTTTGGCCAACTACTCAAAACTCAATTTCACTCTTGACTAACCTCAAATCCAGATATTTATTTAATTGTCCCCATCTCTGTTTCTTTGGTCTGACTCTAAACCAGGGCCTGTTAACTAGTACATAATGAATGTTCCTTTAGTTTGAGTTCAAACATTGGCTCTTCTAGCATTAACAGCTCTGTCTGGATATTCAAACAGAACAATTGTTAACTAATTTGATCTGAAATCTGGGTCTTTTCATTTATTCATCAGTAATTTTCTGGACTCTTTGATCCCTGTGTTCTGCTATCTCATCTGACTTTGAACTGCTATTTCAGTGCTTTGACTATCAGTGTTAAACCCAAGGTCAAGCCTATCTGATAAGGCTCCCACTGTCTAGCCATGATCCCCAATTCAATAAAATGCCCCAGTGATACCAGGGGCCTTTTTTTTTTTTTAAACAATTGTATCCCTCAGGATTGTATTTTTAAACATTGTATCCCTCTGGCCTGGCCTGGCCTAGTGATTTTACGATCAATCCTCTTCCGTTTTAGACTGCTGACCCTGGCATGTGTTGATGGAGTCATCATCAATGCCCTACTTTCTAACTTTAACCTGGACCGTGGTTAAGTCTTTCAACTTTTAGTGAGACTTCAAACCTGGAGATCTGGTAAATTTTCCACCCCCAGTAGCCTGACCTTCTGATCTGAACTCACATGTAGGAGATGAAAACAACTGAACTTCCTAGGAATTCAAAGTGGTAACTACTGGGGTCATGTAGATTGCAGTCAAGATGTGATAAAGTGAAGACTACAGTGAATCCAACTTCACGGAAATCAGTGTGAATTCCAGTGGGATCACTAACACTCTTATGACACATACCCCACTTACCTCATTCTGTGTGACCGCTCAGAGTCTAAACCCCAGTCTGGGACCCCAGAAGTGTTCATGCCCCAGTCTGTGGTCATGAGTCCATGTTGTTAAGTGCAGTCGAGTCAGGTCTGACTCATAGCGACCCTGTATAGGGTTTCCGAGGAGCAGCTGGTGAGCTTGAACCGCCGACCTTGCAGTTGAAACTGACCTTGTAGTCCAGTGCGTTAACCTGCTGTACCACACCAGGACTTCCTTAGTACATAGTTTGTGTGGCTCACAATGTCCAAACTTTAGTCTTTGTGATCCTAAAAGTGTCCACACCCTAGTCTGTGTGATTCCAGGAGAGTCTATACTTCAGTCTGTCTGATATCAACATTTCCGAACCCCAATCTGTGTGACCTCATAGGGATCTACACCCCAGTCTGTTGCACCAGTTGTGTCCAGATCCCAGTCTGTGTGACTC